GCTAGTGCACCCTGCTTTTCATTGGGGGGATGTGTGGCCCATCATCTGCCAAGTCTTTTGCTTTTCGTAATAGTGTGGAGTGATTTTCGGTCGTGCAAGTTTGGGTCTAGTCCCTCTAGGATTTTCAGTGTATATATCATGTTCTTCCCTCCTGCGTTCCAGGGAAATACAGGTTGAGAAACCTCAAGACGCTACCAGTAATTGAGGTGTTTTTTCTTCCGTTATGAGCGCCGTTGAAAGTTCTCTGTAACATCTTTCTAGGTCGGCCAATTTCACATGCTTGAAAGGTGCTTTTAGAGGCAGCAATATTCCAGCCCAGCATAGAACAAGTGACTGAAGGGTGTCATCATGGGCTTGGCCTCCCTAGTTTTGAAGGTTTCATTATCATTCCTGTCATTTTCCAGCAGATGCGGGATTGATACAATGTTATGGTCCTTGAAGGTGAGATCCTCCGACATAATCACTCCTAGGTCTTTGACGTTGGTGTTCGCTCTATTTTGTGGCAGAATTTGTTTGTACTCTGATGAAGATTTAATTTCCCTACATGTTTTACCAAAATCTGAGTAATTGAAATTTCTCATCGTTTTGTGTGAACTTCATTATTGTTTTCTGCAGCCCACTGAAAGATTGAAGATTTGGTTGATGTCCGACTGGAGAGCTTTCAGTGTCTGCATTGGAAGACATGTCATGCAGATCGGGGTGTCATCTGCAAAAGGAAAGACACGGTGCTGTGGCTGACATCTTGTCTATGTCGGAGATGAGGATGAGAAACAAGATGGGAGCTAGTACTGTGCCTTGTGGGACAGAAAGAGCTTTTCACCGTAGCTGCTCGGACTTTATCTGTTGAACGACTACTCTCTGTGTTCTGTTAGTGAGAGGAAAATTTATTGTCCATCGACCGGACCTTTCCTGTTAATTCCTTTAGCCGCATTTTGGCGCTATCTACGCCCATGAGTCACACTTGTCGATAGCTTTTGCAAATCTGTATATATTAAATTGCATTTTTTTGTCTTCTAGTGCATTTTAGGACCTTGTCGGTAGTGATCCAGTAGTTGAGACCAAGGACAGGAAGCGATCTGTTCTAAACCCTTGTTGCTGGGTTGTGTAATGATGGGTTTCTAGATGGGTGGTGATCTTGCTTCTTAGGACCCTTTCAAAGATTTTTATGAATGGGAGTTAGTTGCTATTGGTCGTAGTTCTTTGCTGTTGCTTTACTGGCCCCCTTTGTGGAGTGGGGCTATGTCTGTTGTTTTTAGTAACTGAGGGACGACCCCCACCGATGTCCAATGCTCCCTATCACATAGGATGGAAAAGGCTGTGATAGGGGACTCTTGCAGTCTTTGATGAACACAGAGTTCCATGAGTCTGGCCCTGGGGCGAGTGCACTGGGCAGTCATTATCGCCTGTTCGAAAGTTCATTTGGTCAGAGGATAACATCGGGATAGGCTGGTGTTAGTCAATTGTGTGGCTCTCTCATATAAATTCATTTTGGTCTTCACGCTCTCAGTCTGGTTAGCGGCTCCTTGCTAAAAATGAGTTATTGGGACTTGAGGTAGGCTCACTCATTTCCTTGCTGTCATCTGGGTTAGGACCACTCTGTTATGTAGGGGGCCCCAATAATGGACGTTGTTATCGATTTGGATTTGCATAGGCGAGAAGAAATACTTTGGGTTTCTTTCGAGTCATTTATTGGCTTTTAGTTTCTTCCCGCGGGATTCCTGACTCCTAAAGGTTCTTTAGCTTAAGTTCGATGCTTGCTATTTTCCTCTGACCAGTGTCTCCTGCGCATTTCAGATATATTGACCCTCTTTTAGGCCGCTCGGTTATTCTTTTCCGTCGCTGTAAAGGGATGCGCCTGTCTCTTTCTATTTTACATTAACTCCTCCTTTTTCTTAGAGGAATAAGCCTTTGTGCATACATCGAGTGCCACGAGGTTAATCTGTACTAGGCATAGTTTGGGTCTGTGTTGCCCTTAGTATTCTTCCATGCTTATATCGGTTAGGACTTGGTTTACTTGGTCCCACTTTATGTTTTTGTTATTGGCTCAAGTTGAATTTGGTGAATGCTCCCTCGTGACTAGTCCTCATTTGGTCGGTTCTGGGGCTCCATGGCTTACATGTCTGAACCTCAATTATGTTGTGTTTGAGTATATTGTTTTTGAATTCATGGATGAATTTCTTATCAGATATCATTGTTAGTGGATGAGTGGTTAGTGTATTCTCCAGTCATTGTAGGCTCTATGATTTGTGGGATTAAATTTGAATTTTGTGCAGAGATTTAAAAGCTCGTGTTGAGGGTTGAAGTTTTCTCAGAGCTGCCTCTGGTGTTATTACTGCAACAATATTATTTGCTATATTCTTTCCATTTTAGGTGCCTTAAGTTGAAATCCCCAGGAGCAAGATGTTGGGTGCAGGAGCTGGAAGATCTTCCAGGACAGGGGTCAATTTTTAACAGCTGGTTCTCTGGGATAAAATTGCTGGGATGTTGATCCGGAGGTTGTGACTACCCAATGGACTAGGTTTTGGTTCCGAACTTTACTGCTAAAACTTCCATATGTCATTTGAGGCATGAAGCAGTTCTGTGCAAACAAGTGACTCTGCAATGTTACAGGCCACCCCCCCCTTTTTCTGTTCACTCTGGACTCTGATAGGTTGTACCTGGGGGATCCATACTTAGTTTTGTCCAAGTGATCTCTTTATGTGGGTCTCAGGATGAAAGCCGGAACATTGCCTTTGCTCCCTTTGCTGCAAGCAGGTCCACGGATATGAAAGGTATTTTGTTGTTTGTAGCTGGCTTTAGACCCTGTATATTTGCAAAGAAAGAATGTTAATGGGGACTGGTGGTATTGTTGGTTACTGGGGGGGGGATTTTTTTTCCGCATTAGTATCTGTATCTGTTGGTTTGGGAGTGGAGGCCATCGACTTGGTATGGTTCCACTCCAGGAATGACTGGGATTTGGTGTACGTTTTCTGCCATTTCCTGCCAGTTTTTTTTCCTTCCTGGCACTAAAAAAACCCGACCTCTTGAGTGGCTGTGGTACCCAGGTTTTCCATGGCCTGGATGTTTTGTATCTTTTTGTCCCCTTTAGATGGTATGCCTGGCAATTTAAGTTATTTAGCACAGTCTTTCCTGTACTGAAGGGTACACTTTTCAGGGGTGAAAAAGCTTACAGGAAGGGAGTTTCATTTTCCCTGGTTTTCATATGGGCCATGGCATTTTCTGGGTGGTCATAGTTGCATGTCCAATCTGTTTTTCCATATTTCCATGCCAGCAAGATACCAATGCATGTATGTGCACAGGCTTGGTTTTCCGCTTTGGCCTTGGGTTTCTGTGGACTGTATTCCCTGTTGGTGCATGTTTCCTGTCTTACTTCTATCCTCCATAGCACAACAATTGGAGCTCCCCCAAGTTGTTTTTGGTAATTTATCCTCACTATTACTATTGGAGTTCCTCTTGTTTTTGCTATTTCCTGCGGTATTTCTAGTTTGCAATATTGGTTTTATCTTATCTTTGACTTTACACTTGTCTTCCCTACTTGCTCCTGTCCCCTATGAGATCATTTATATGTATTCCTTCCTGTTATAAATTCCTAGACTACTGGACAATATCTCCCGCTTCACCATTTCTGTCTCCCAGGACAGTATCTCCAAGCTTCACATTTCTGTCTACCAGGGACAGCACCTCCAGCTTCACCATTTAGGTCTCCAGGACAGTATCTCCAGCTTCACATTTCTGTTCTCCCACGACAGCAACATCCAGCTTCACCATTTCTGTCTACCAGGACAGTATCTCCAGCTTCAACATTTCTTGTCTCCCTGGACAGCACCTCCAGCTTCACCATTACTGTTCTCCCAGCCGCACCTCCAGCTTTCACCAATTACTGTCTCTCCCAGGACAGCACCTCCATGCTTCACCCATTACTGTCTCCCAGGACAGCACTATCAGCCCCACATTTAATGTCTACCAGGACATCACCTCCAGCCTTACTGTTTATGACTACATGGCCAGTATCAAGGGCAAGTACCATTCAGCCCAGACATTTTATGTTCCATCTGTTGTAGAAAGCTTCCAGGTTGTCTATGAAAGCAGCTTTGATGTTGTCCTCTCTTTTAATACCCTTGTGATTTTAGTCCACGATTTTCCTCTTTTGAGCAATACCCAAAAACACTTCATCTGTTTTAATACTGCTGTAGCTAGTTCTGGATATCTGCTCAAGGGAAGTGACACCAATTTCCACAAAAATGGTCAATTTATCCATGTGGAAGCCCGTTTTGTTTGACTGACACAGACTACACCGGGCTTCATAATGATTTGAATGGTTGATTTACTGCAAATTCTACTAGCAACCTCTTGAAAATTCTATTAATAACCTTAAATGAAGCTCTAGCTATTTGTATTTCTGTTTCTAACTCTTTTTGTATATTGGACAGCTTACCGTCACGTTCCTGATTTTTAATGTTTGTGTTTATAGGGCGCCTACAACCCCATCCGTTTACAGTCTGCTTTATTGTCCAACGAAACTGTGTGCTCAAATTGGAAATAAAAAAATAAATAAATAAATAAATTGGTGATTTTTCGCAGCCACATCAAAGACAAGGTTCATGAAAGAGAATGGGTGACCTCGGCTTGATCCAAGTAATTTCACTGAGGTACAGGTACACGTAAGTACAATTATTTCCATTGAGGTTGGTTTGAGTTACATTTTATTTAATTGGTAGGGAGGAAGGCGAAATCCATATGGGGGTTAAAAAACGCTTGGGGAAATAGAAAGCCAATCAAGATTCGATCACGGAAAATCCAACTCCCACTGGATTCAAGAACCACCTCACCATCATGGACCTACCTGGAGTGGGTTGACAGGTGACAGCACCTGCCGGGCTGCCATCCACGTTATCACTCCACATCACCACTGATAATAACATAACCCACCAGCTACCCTGCTCCACACCATTAATGTGACCCATCCTGCATACCAACCACCACATTACTTGCACACTTACATAAATATAACGGAAAGGAATGCTCGAGTCAAAATTTCCAGCCAAAATGTGGCTTGAGCTTCTATCCATCTGATCATCATCACCTCGTCTATCCTGGGAGAAACATTCAAACAAGTTTCATTCAGTCCCTTTAAAAATTAAGAATATTCCCCCCCATTAATGAGGGGTGCCTTAATGCTGGTCAAGGGCTCTTGATACAAGGAATTGGAGCACCTTCCCCTTCCTCATATCAAACCTGATTACCTTCCATTCCTTAGGTGATGCATGGCCCCCTACGGATTTAACGTTTTCTCCCTATGAATATAATATCTTGTAAAAATAAAAACAACGTGAGATTTCAGGACACTTTAATTTAATTTCCTAAAACTGAAAACTGTTGGTATTTAAATACCATTTACTACCAATATATTAATAGTTTGAACACTGAATTATAGGTTAATAATTACTTGCGCTCTTTCTAAAGTTCTTCATTACCCTTACTCACTTATTAACCTACTAATTTGTTTACTGACTTACTATAATATAACACATAGACATAATATAAGAAACAAATACCTCTTTCGTATACCACGTGTAGGACTCCACTAATATAGAAATTCCATTCATATAAAAGGGACAAAAATACTGAACTGTCAGAAAATGTCAAAAGTTTCTTTAATGCCAACATAATTAATAATTGTTAAGAAAAACACCTGTTTACGTCATTATTGTTATCACCATATTCAAGAATTATTGTTATTACTATAATTTCCCCCTCGTAATAATAATTTTGAACTATCTTGTCCCATGTTATCTGTATTGTAATCTAAGTAACTTACTATATATTCACCATCTCACTTCAATCATTCCACAAAACTGAAGATCACTGAATCAGTTTAAATAATACGTAATTCTGTTTTAATTGATCATTTGTTATTAGCGACCTTTCTTATTGTATTTATGATTGTAGTTCAGTAACGTGAAAGTCTGTTGATTAGTGGCCCGAAATGTATTGCATAATTAACAACTTTCTTTTCTACCTACCATTGTATTAATTCACTTAAAATACGTCATTTGTACGACATAAAGAAATATACTACTACTTATTAGCAGTATTATTAAATATCTGTCATTGTTCAATATGTCATTTTCAACCTGCCTCATTGTACTCAGGATAAATTTATTTTCAACAGTAAGTCTATACTTACTGTATGTTTTTTTTTTTATCTCATCCACCTCGTGACTGGAATGAATCAATCACACTGCAGTGCCACACAATGCCTAACATTATATACGATGACTAGAATTAAACAGTGTGCAAGTTTTGGAATTAGCTTGCCCAAAATGCTTCGTAGTTTCAAGTGGCTTCTTCTGAGCATGCATTTTGTATCAAATAATTTTTGTCGCAATTGTATCAAACTGCAACCAATGTGAATATTTTGGTCATTGTATCTTCTATGCATGCTTCTTAAAAATAAACGTTTTTATATTTAAGTTGTTTTTATCTTGCCTGACTTATCTACTTTATGACTGAGTCAGAAGCACGACCAGCAGTGTTTAATGAAGGTGAGTAATATATAACTAAGCGACCAAACACAAGCATCAAAAAACACTGTTGTTGTTGATTCAAGCATGGGGATTGTGGACGTCTGGTTCTGCCTGGGTTTAAGTAATGAGGCCCAGTTAACCTAATTGTGAACTTATTGTTGACGTTGCTCTTTCAAGATGAAACGTTGTTTCTTTTCATAATTCTCGCCCATCTTGTTCCCAGACTCCCGGTAGGCAGGGCTTGTTAAAGTTAGCTTTAGTGACCTTTAACCCCCAACACTAACAACAACAACAACACCACCATAGGCGTGATGGCTTTCAACTGGCGACACACAATATATTGTAAGCTACGTGAGAGAAACAAAAAGGAATTCGAGAACATCAATGATCTAATTCAGCTACGTAAGTATTTGTGTGTTCAGAGCGTTTTGTGTCCTGGAGAAATATTTCCTCAGGAAATAAATTATACTAAGTGCTTTGTTGGGTTATTATGAAGGTAAAGCCGAAGATCCCCCAGTTATTATTAAAAATAAAAGGGGGAAGCGAAAAACCCTTAGGATTATACAGGCCTGTGGGAAGGATGGGGACGGTTATTGAGGCTCATTCAGGGAACCGAAGCACAGAACCAGTTCCCAATCAAAGCCCCTCACCTTATGCGGTAGGGGCTCTTGACTGGGGAAATTTGGGATCCATTCTCGGGTTCCTTAAATTGAGCCTGAACCTTTCCCACATCCCCCCACGGGCCTGTTAATCCTACGGTTTAGCGTTTCCCCCCCTGATTATTAATAATTGGGTTATCTTCAGCTTCATCTTCATAATTTTCGCAGCCCTTGCCTATAATAACCATGTATAAATTAAGTAAAATGTTTTTAAAAGCCCGCAAATTTTAACCTAAATACAAACTTCAAAAAATTATCACGTCATCTTTTTAACCCTTTTTAAATTTTTTGTTAAAATCAGCTTAAGTAGGTAAAGTTTTAATTTTAGGTTTTACACACTATATGAAATTTCCCTTTTTACAATATTTTGGGGCCACATGACATATACAAAGTCATTATGTGAATTAACCTGGGATACCAAATTAATTCAACATAAAAAATTTTTATGAAAAATAATGAAAAAATGTAAAATCTGTATGAGTGTGTTATTTTTTATATAAAAATTTTTTTAAATTATTTTTTATTTTTAAATTATTGTTATCAAAAACCGGGCCCAATTTCCCCCCCAAAGGGCCCAGGGGGGGCCCGAAAAAAAAAACTTTCACCATCATTCACTTCCATCACGTCTTGCCAAAAGGGGTGTTTTACCCCTACATTTTTTAAACTGAAAATTTTAACACCCCTCCTTCAAAACTCCCAGGCACGTATTTCCCCATCTCCGGGAAACTCAAGTCCGGCCTGCCTTTTTCCCTAAACCCCTTTCTAAATTTTATTTTTGCTCAAAAGTCCAACAGCACGTCAAGTTTTAAAAAAACCAAATTTGCCTCCATTCACTCCTATTTTATATACACACACCATAAAATATATAATATATATATATTATATATATATATAATATAAATAAATAATATATATATTAGTGAAGCTTGGGTGGTAAATGACAGCAGGAGAGGGTTGGGAGGCAGGGAGTTGCCCTGTCTAAGGCAATGTGGGGTGTAAATATTAGGGCAGAAATTCGGAGTGGGGAAAATTTTAGGAGAAGTGTGGATTTAATTTAAAAGCATTAGTAAAGAGGGCAGAAGAGGGGTTGTTGAGGTGGTTTGGCCCTTTTTAGAGAGAATGGATCAAATTAGAAGGGAAAAAGGGAAAAGCAAAATAAATCTATGGGGGAAGGAAAGGGGGGTGGGGGGTCGTCCCCCGAAAGGGTTGGAGGGAGGGGGTAAAGGAGGTTTTGTGGGTGGGGGGGGCCTGGACTTCCCAAGCAAGCGTGGGGGAAAGGGGTTTTTAATGGGGGTGAATGGAACGAATGATCCCTTTTGGGGCCTGACGACTTTTTTGGGGTTGAGCAGGTTTAAAATTTAGTGAAGGGATTTTAGGGAAAAACCCTTATTTTTTATATAGGCGGACTTGAGTCCTGGAAAAGGGGAATACAAAGCCGCACTTTAAAAAAGGGGGGGTTTTGGGATATTGGGAGTTTGGAGGATATGTTTTGTATCTCTATACATAAAATGGGTTCAAACTGTTGTATTCTGACACCTCTGCCAAAAAACAGTGATAATGTGTGAGTGTTGGGGAAAGTGTTGAATGATGAGAAAGTATTTTTTTTGGGATTTTCTTTCTTTTTTTTTTGGTTCCCCCCTGCCTCGGTGGGAGACGGGCCCACTTGTTGAAAAAAAAAAAAAAAAAAAAAAAAAATATATATATATATATATATAATAATATATATAAAAAAATATAATAAAATATATAAAATATAATATATTATAAAATATATAAAAAACACACACATATTTATTTATATTAGACCCCGATAAAGCATGTATTTGGTAAATTTTACCCAAGTTTTTGAGAAAGAAACTTCAGATCAAATATTTCCTTTTTTCCCGTGGGCCAAAATCTAGGGCAAAAAACCGCAAAACCAGTATTGGATCCGGGTTAAAGGGGAGATGGGACTTTCACAAGGACTTCAAAGAAAGAGTGGCTACTGAAGTCCCATTTACTCAAATGGTTTTTGTGAGGGGAATTGTTTTTTAAACAGGGGAAAGGGGGGGGGGGGGGCAGGTTTTTTCCCTTAAAATGTCCAAAAATAATCTATGTTTGGGACGCGTTTGTGCTGCGACCTTTTTTCTCCTAAGAAACAAGTAAAAAAAAAGTAAATCTAAAGTTTAACGCTATGAAGCAAAAATAGATCACGTTTGGACAGTTTAAGGGTTAAAGAATTTTTTATGACTGAAAAAAACCCCAAAAAAGGTTAATTTGGAATTTCTGATACAATCCTAACACCACAGGACTTTGAAAAAAAACCCAAAAAATGAAAGCCCATGCCCTTCTACCCTAGGCCCAGACTCGTGGAACTTCACGTTCACTAAGAATGGCAAGAAACCCCTTTCACATGCCTTAAATATTTTATGGAGAGGGAGCATAGACATGGGTCATCCCACATTCACTAAAAGTAACAGATATAGCCTCACCCCACAAAGATGGCAGTAAAGCACTTGCAAAGAATTACAGGCTCAGAGCACTAACGTCCCACATAAAAATCTCTGAAAGGGCTCTAAGAAGCAAGATTGCCAACTACTTAGATATCCATAAGTTGCACAACCCAGGGCAGCATGTCTTTAGAAAAGGCTGCTCCTGCCTCTCACAGCTACTGGATCACTATGACATAGTCTTGGATGCACTGGAGGACAATCAAAATACAGGTGTAGTATACACAGACTTTGTGAAAACCTTCGACAAGTGCAATTCTGGTGAAATAGCACACAAAATGTGTGATAAAGGAATAACAGGAAAAGTTGGTAGATGGATCTATAACTTCCTGACAAATAGAGTAATAGTAAACAAAGTAAAGTCAGAAGCAGCTACAGTGAAAAGCTCCCATGCTTTTTCTCATCCACATATCTGACATAGACAGAGATGTAAGCCGCAGCACCATATCGTCCTTTGCTGACGATACCAGAATTTTCATGATGGTGTCATCCATTGAGGACACTGCAAATCTCCAAATGGACATTAACCAAGTCTTGAATCCTTTCAGGCTCCAGGCCCCTCAATCTGAAAGTTGTCCACAGGGTCCAAGAATTAAAAAAAAAAAAATGTTATATTTTTCTTGTGAAATGGTAGAGAATTTTTTTCTGAAGGTAATAAAACAAAATGTACAAAATTTGATGAAAAAATGATGAAATTACGCTATCGCAAATTCTGCTGTGTCAGCAGTATTTACACTTCAGCAGTTTTGCCCACTTTGAGTCCTATTTTAGGCCAATTACATTGTTCCATTTGACTGAATTCTTAGCTATTTCGCTAGTGAGCCTTCCATTTTATTGACTGAGCACAAGAATCTGCCCAATCAACTATTTCAGCTACTCAATACAGTGATCAGAAATTGGTAATTTGGCCAGTTTCACACAAATTTCAAAATATGCCAACTTAAAAGTAGGGTCCAGAATAAACAATGCAGGCATTCTTGATACTAAAATAACATTTCCTCTGTTCATTAGTTACATTCCCATGCTTTACACATGAATTCCATTTTGAATTTTTATTTACACAAATAATTTTTATTCACAAAAAATAGAAGACTTACTGTTACGCATTATGCACATTCATGAGCACATATTAGATTGACCAGTGGACATGTATTGGACGAGTTATGTGATTTGTTTACTCTGGAATATTGGCAAAAGTCGAATATTTCTGCTACTTTGAACTCAATTTCAAGCTATTTTCAGTCCTCGGACCAATCAAAATCATCTTTATTTCTGTAATATATCTTCCATTCTATCAAATGAGACCAAGAAACCATGAATACAACCATTAAACCATACAAAAATAAACTGCAAAGTCACTGATTTAAACTAAAACCATGGTTGCAGGATTTTTTTTATATGGTGCACACTTACCACATAGGCCCATTCTCTCATATCTAGGCCCAAATTTACCACTCACAGCTTATCTGAGTGAGCTGAGCTCATGGCATAGAACTATGGCACTAACACTGATTTTAAAGCTGTAGAACTACGGCACAGGCTCAGAAAGGGTTAAATTGGTGTCAGAAAACAATATGAAGTTCAATGAAGACAAAATTCAATTACTGCTCTATGGAAAACTCTAGGAAATAAAAAGTGGATCGGAGTATAAAGCAAATTCCAACCACAGAATAGAGCGAAAAACTAATGTGAATGACATGGGAGTGATAATGTCAGAGAATCTCACTTTTAAAGATCACAACAATGTATCTACCACTAGTCCCAGGTCTGCACATGGAAATCACTAACTATGAAAGCAAAAGACTCAGCAGGCAGCACAGCATCCCCCAATGAAAAGCAGAGGTGCCATGAGTATGCTAAGAGACAACCCAGTTAGTGGCAGAGGCCTAAGACTGTTTAACTGCCTCCCTACATACATAAGGGTGATTACCAATACACCCCTGGCTGTCTTCAAGAGGGAGCTGGACAGACACCTAATATCAGTACCTGACCAACTGGGCTGTGACTCGTATGCCATTTTGCGTCCCAACCATCAGAAACCCAGCCCGGGTTTTGATCAGCCCCCTGATCCCCCAGAGACCTGATCAGGACTGGGCCACGGGGGCATTAAACCCCAGAATACCCTCCTGGTATACACCAGATCCCATTACCATTATATGTATATACATCTCCCCACGCTGTTCATGCACGTTGACCCTCTAGGGGTTTTAGCACTTCTCCATAAATTTAAAACAGTTTTAAAATCCCTACATGG